AATTAAGATCAAAAATTGCGCTCACGTGATAAATATCGATTACTGATTTTGCACGCCATTTCTGATGAGAATAATATGTTGGATATATTATTTATATATGTTCTTTTTGAATCATACTCGCATTGAATCATTAAATAGTTATAAAATATGGAAAATACAAGCTGAAACATTGTTAGAATTTAGATGATTGAACATGTAAAACCAATTTAAAGTAAATTTACATTCCTTCCATGCTCTATTCTCTACAATATCAATCAATCAATCGTTTCACTAATGCATACTGATCTATTCTTTTTCCAAACGTTCGTTATGAAGTACTCACTCGTAAGCAGCGTCCGGTAACAGATAGTCATGTCACTGTTAAATTCATTTAAAAACTGTATTTTCGAGCGTCGAACTGTATTTAACTTCTCAAATCGAAACACTGATACGAATAAAAGTTTATCACATTGCTTCTCTAACCAAAGGATAAAGCCGCATCGGCGCAATTTCAATTTAAAAAACGTTTGCGCGAAAGGAAAGTGCAATAATGCAATCTTGTTTCTCGCATCTTTCCTGGGAACGCGAGTTTCCGTCGCGACTATAAAAATTACGGGAAAAATTCGAATTTTTAAGCGACGAAAGTTTCCTCGCGAGCGTGTCCCTGTGCCACGAGGCGTGTGGAACGTAATTCCTATACCGTGTTAAATTTCACTTTACGCAGCGGATCACTTTTTAAAGACCGCCCTCTTAAATCTCGGAGACGTCGCGGTACACAGACTGGCACCAGGGGAATAAGGGGACGAGGAAGTTGCTGGTCTCACACGCTTGTGCACACATACTCGTAGCCTTTTAATGGAAAACACGTATTACGGTGCTAAAGTAGCACTGCCAGACGTCTTTTACGAGCTCGTCCTCGCTACGAGCCATTCGGTCTATACTTGTATTTGAGTGCACTGCCATTTTCTGATTTGAGTCGGAAAATCCAGACGACGGTCGGGGGGGGGGGGGATGCAAAGAGCATCGTAACGCGGCACTGGTAATTCTCTGTCTTTGCCTACCTTTCATTCGATGCCATCGAAGCGTGCACTTTTAACGCGGAGCCGGACTTCTTCAATTTACGAGGACAAAGTAAGAAAAATTGTTTGGAGAAGGTTTTGGCAAAGAGTGGACCCTTTAATTTTGATAAAACGTCGCTATCTCACGACGAGCATACAAATAAAACAAAGTGCGCAGCGTCGCGTGATTTTAAATAATTTGCAAACAAGACTACCGTATCGTTAAATAGATTCGTCCAGTGAAAGTTTCATGGTGAAATTTGCTTTACATAGACAGGGTTTAAAACGAGAAAGTTTTGTCCCGGGTGAAACTTTGATGGAGTTTATGAAACTACAATACGCTTACAGTCGAACTTTTAAGAACTTTCGATTGATAAGCAATTCGATCTTATTTGTTCCCGATAATACAGCGAATTATTTTTCCGAGCAGGAAGTAGAAATTATTGGTAAACTTGAAGTAAGAAGCTTAAAATATTAAAATCTCTCGGCGTAAGTTTCTTTGATGGCTTATGGCTTGCGAACTGATTTTTCTATTTATGCACTTTTATTGTCCGGATTTCAAAGCGAGAAACTTCTTTCAAGGTTATCGAGCGTTACGAAAAGTGGCACGTTTCGTTTTTAAATAAATAATAATTCGATGCACTAAAAACGTGTTATTTTTAATCTTGTCATTTACTTCGATCTCGTCGAAACATTCGTGCATAAATTTAATCATAATCGTTTCACGTTGAGGCCCGAGATCTTTACGCGGAGTTTGGACGTTTTCAACGTATCGACAGGTCGGATCTTCTGCTGAACGGGTAACTTCAACCGCGTACGTGGACGCGTATGCACATTCGGATAGTTTATGGTTGCCACGGAAAAATAAGCGTTCGAACGTCGGTAGCAAGAAACAGACAGGGAAGTTCGTCGTACACCTACGTGTATCGGGCGATGTATCTATCTCAAATTAAATCACAACACATGATTGGAAGGTGCACAGGAGAATCGAAATGTCGTTTGCACGGTATCTCGCACGCTGGAAATGCCAGGGACGTCGGTTGCACAAGCTAGAAGATTGGAGGGACGAGAGACGCTAATGGTTTATTAAGCCTATGGATGTCAAGCAAGTGATGCTGCAGCTGCACGAGAAACGTTTGACAAATAAAATGTTTGCGAAATAATTGAAACCAACAAGAAAAAATGTGCAATCCATTGATGGATCTAGAAAACTACGAACTAGAAGTAGTAAGATTATGACGATGGTTCACCATTTATCCAAGATTTGTTCAAGCTACTAGTCTATACGTTTGTATATAATATAAAGAATTAGATTCATGAAGATTTTGTGTCAACAACATGGAAAGCATAATTAAATGATCAGATTACAACTGTGTTATATTTATTATATCATTCAGTTCTCTGTGTTTGAGAGTTTTAGAATATAAATTGTACTTGAAAATAATAGACGAAAATCTTGTTTTTCTAACTTTGTGAAGGAAATTTTTTCCCTGCATGATTATTCAAACGAATTACTGTAAATATATAAATTGCGGGGAAAGAATTATACGAGGACGTTTTCGAGTTTGGCGAGAAATTACCGGTTTCCAGACCACCGTGCACGCGGATACTCGACCGGCGCCACGACATTAAACGATTTTCGATTCGTAAGTCGCGGAGAAGCGGTCGCGGCTGGGTTTAGACGAGCTATATAAATTTCTAATGTAATATTCTGAAAACATTCTTCACACTCGGTGGTCCTCGAGGGTATACGTCTGGCTTGAGGCCAATCAGAGTAGGACTCCTCGTGAAGTTTTGCACGCTACGCCGTAATTTCGTGCCAACGATCCCGGTGAGCTCTTAGGAGGAACTTTTTGAATTGTGGCACGCTAATCAGTTCCCATTTTTTGCGCACTGCGACGCGCAAGAGTTACTTTATTTTCGCGAACGACACTATGTAGTCTCCTGATTTGAACAGCTCTCGATGGATACGCAGAACATCTACAAAGCTATACTATTCCAAGTTGCAAGGATGAAATAAGCTTTTCCTGAATATCAGGTTTCTCTCAAGATAATTGGTATTTTTCCCCCGTGTTACGTTATATTTTGCTTCGTTATCGAGCTTAAAAGCAACAGCATCGTTCCAATTTTTATCAACGAATCGAATGCAATCGACAAAAAATATTTCCGGTCGTCGATAACGGTCGTGTGTAACCGAAATGTATTTGCCTCGTCGATAACGGTTATGAGCGATCGAGAAAAATGTTCTGGATCGACAAATTTCGATCGTAAATAATAATTATTGTGCAGCGAAAAAGTTTTGGTATCGATGTGTTTTATTTCTTTAAACGAATAAGTCACGTTTACATTTTTATGTATACGTACGTATTAAATAAAAAATCGTATCAATGGCGAACCATTTGATCGTAAAACTCCGGCTGAAATGATTGCAAAACCAAGTACATATGAGTGGAAAAATGAAAAGCACTCGAGTTGATTGACAGTGTATGCAATCTCTATTATGATATTTACTGTATTTTTATAAATATTTAGTCATCGTATGTTTTACCATTTCCAATATTAAGATGGCGTGCGTAAAAATATGAAATTTTCTCTTACGATTGTAAAGAAATAACAATTTACGATACGCTCTGTGTAATCAAGGACGAATCTTTCTTCTTATCGAGAGTTACAGATCACAAGAAACGCTCGAAGAATAGCGATTCTTATCGAATTCTACTTCAAAAATTGCTTCGTTCGTCATCTGGCAAGGAAACTCGTCCGTTGCTCTTTTATCGCCTTCGGTGGCGTATTTTTCCTTGTTTCGCGAATATGCTATATTTATAAACGGTACACGGATTATCGTGGAAAATGTTTCGCCAAATTTTCTATCGATTTTCACATCCAATCTTAGTTTCTACACTTTTTAACGGGTACAAAGCACTCGTCTAAAGTATCGACAAAAGAAGCTTTAAAAAACAAATCTATCATGGACAACGAAAGTCATCGAGAGTTGTTAATATTATTCTGCCGGATCATCGGATATCCTGCGTTAGTTGAAACATTTCACCCACCATCGCGAATCAGGGAACTTGGAAACGTAATAATTTCAAGCTGTTTTAAATATACTAGTTTCAATTTCTCACGTTAAATGAAATTTATATTCGAAGAAACTTCTAAAATTCGTCGACGACTCGCGGGGAACGAATCTACTTTCGGTAGCGAAAGTTATCGAGTGTTATTAATGTTACTCTGCCAGTGCACTGGATGTCCTGGAAGCCTGCTTCTGCATCGGTGCGCAACGTTGAAGCAGAAACATTTTACATTTACGAAAACTTGCAAAAGCGATAAATTAATGCTGTTTTACGTCTTTATGATATATGTATCCTAGAGTTAAACACTTTGGGACTTAGTTTTTCTTATCTAAATATTTATTGCTACTGAAAGCAAATTTTTCGAAAATGTCAAGGATATCCACAGCACTGTGACATTTTCTGCAAGCTGTATCATAACAGGTTACTTATTACTAGACTTTATTTTCATTAATTTATTCGTTCGTGGAGGGCTATTTTAATCCCTGAATACAATAATTCGTATTTCACTTATTGTGGGAGGGTATGGAGGGAAACAGGACGTTGTCAGGAGCCCGAAATAAACCCTCCCAGTCTTAATAACGATGATATATATTTTAAATAAATGATATATATTAGTCGGGCGCGCGCGAGTGTACGTGACAATCCTCGTCAAAGTCGTTGCTGTAACTGTCCGATGACCTGGCCTGCTTGGCCTTGCCATCCCTTTGCCGCTTTCCCTTTTCCCGTAAGGAACAAAGCGGCCTACGTCATGGGAAAACCCCTGTACCTTGTCCTCTCCAAGCTAAAGAGGCCCGTTAGCCTCCTACAGTTCGGCCATCCTGACCTGTTAGCCGCCCCGGCTAACCCCAATACAATATTGTTTCTTAAATCTATCTGTACATACTGCATACTACGTGCTTCTCAGCTCATATTTAATACATAATTTTTTCTCCAACGAATACATTAATACAAACATACATTCCTCAGTTTGCTCGTTTATTCTATCCCACTTTGTATAGGCAGTGATCATAACTGGAGAAGGGGAAACATCTATGAGGTTTCCAAATTCAGTGGAATTATTTTCAGGTGGTAAAGATAAAGAGAATTCAACACAAATAAATAACACAAATTTCTTAACACATTGGGTTTTGGCCTCGAATAAAATGTCCAATCCTAAAGTGAAATAGTTATCGAAGAAATCCGATCGCCTTATTTTATCACGTTCGTGCGCGTGAGGACTATGAATGCGCATCTTGTCCTCGGCTTTGAAAAACACCCGAGATGGTGCACCCAAAGCGCTCAACACATCTTCACAAGTATCGCCAAATAATACCTTTTTGGTTCAGCAGCGTTTCCTTGGCTCCAGTAATACCCTAGTTACAGAGCTACCTTCTGTGAAAAAATGCAATCTCAAACCTCGAGTGCGCGCTTTATCCCGCATAACATCTACCTTCTCTAAATACAAATTGTTGTGATAGCAGACGAGCGGTAAAGGTGGTGGATGTGCTTTCAAGTTATGCTCGTCTGTTCCACTTCAGCTAGCCATATTACCAATGTATATAGCTGTTTTAGCTACAACGGGGGAAGTCCCATTTGGAAATTTCAATGATTTTAAGCCATGCGCATATCCAGGTTGGAACTTTGAATCAATGGGAAAATAAAACGACAATCCACGAAAATTTAAAACAAACACTTGTTTGTCGCTATCGTAAACACCAGGATGAGTTGCTCCAAACGAGTGTTCAATTTGTTCGATAGATGGCAAAACTTCCGGCGAATTGAACGGCAGACCGCAGTATTTAGGTTTGACTAATTTCATATTATAAATTTCAATTATTTTCAGCCTTTGCACCACTGGGTCAAATATAAGCCGTACACCGTCGTGAGGTAAGTTTATTACTAAATCTACATCTAAAGGATTACTATCGCTATAAAGTACTTGTACTCCCCTTATAATGCCCACTTGAGATTGTATTATCGAAACTGATTGAGAAAAATGCATACCTAAAATAAATTCCCACTGCTCGCAGCCGAGGGATCTCTCGGGCACTACCTCCCGCTCCAATATTCTACCGATTTTTCTATTTAATAAGTCGTCTACAATACTTTGTAATTTTTCTCTATCCGCATATGAAAGTCGCCGCGGTCTAAAGCAAATCAGTTGTTCCTGTTTTAAAGCTATTGTGGCGGCCAAGGCGCCACATACGCCTTAGCCGTTCGAAGCCGCTACAATGTATGGTTGCACACGAGACGATGGTTGCACACGAGACGATGGTTGCACACGAGACGATGGTTGCACACGAGACGACCAGAGCCGCGTGAGCCGAAAAGCCGTTGTCGTCGTCTCTGACCGTCTTTTGTTTTTGAAGGCCTCTTGGTACGGTGGCGATGATCGTACCAGAGAGTCGAGCGTAACCCGCACCACGAGTCACGTCGTTGTACGACAGCAACAATAAAATTGTGCGGAACGGAACAGAGCGGAGTCATTATCTTCCCGATCCCACATTGGTGACCCCGACGTGATCTCGCCGCGCAAGTAAAGTTTTTTTTAAGAAAATTTGGACATTTTTTGTATACGGACAATATTAGTTAGGGTAGAGAAATAAGTGTATAGTGTTAAGGACATAAGAAAAGGACACGGTCTGACAAATAGTAAGCGCGGTGTGTGTGTGCGGTGAAACTATTTTTTTTTTGTGACCAAGACTGGTAAAATGACTGACCCTAACGTTAACGCAGGGACATCCGTGGGTGTGCCGTTGGCAGTTGATCGCGTCGCTGTACGGATACCCGAGTTTTGTCCGGGAGACCCGGAGATGTGGTTTTCAATGGTAGAGAGAAGTTTTGAGGTATCCAATGTAACGTCGGAGACCACGAAATTCGGGTACATTCTCGGCGCGTTAAGTGCGCGACACGCCGCGGAAGTAAGAGACATTATCATGAATCCCCCGGCCGCGGATCCGTACACGACGCTAAAAAATGAGTTCATTCGCCGGCTTAGTGCGTCGCAGGAACAGAAAACGCGGCGGTTATTGGAACACGAGGAAATCGGGGACAGAAAACCGTCTCAATTTCTTCGTCACCTGCGCGGATTGGCCGGTACGGCTTTTTCGGACGGTGTATTGCGGACGCTTTGGATGGGCCGACTACCTGCTAATATGCAGGTGATTTTAGCCACGCAGCGGGACACCCCGCTGGATAAGGTGGCAGAGTTGGCAGACGCTGTTGCGGATACGATGACACCGCGGGTACACGTCACGGAGGCCGCGATTACGGGCGTATCTGCATCCTGCCAAATACCCCCGCCGGGCCCGAGCATCGAGGCCATGTTAAACATTAAGATGTCACAATTGGCTCTTTCCTTGAGGCAGGAAATTTCTGCCATCCGTGAATCCTTGGTGGACCAGGGGCAATCTTCCCGTCGCAGGTGGACCCACCGAAATCATCCAAACTCGCGCTACCGCAGACGATCTCTATCGCGATCGCGAGAGCGGCCCGCGGGAGGACAAATGGACCATCAAGGGAAATGCTGGTACCATTGGCGGTTCGGTCCGGCCGCGCAGAGGTGCGTTGCACCGTGCAATTGGAACGCCACGGATCAGGGAAACGACCTGGGGAGTCGTTGATGGCGGCCAGCGACACAAATCCAGCATCACGCCGCCTCTTCATCTTAGACAACAGCTCGAAGACGGAATTTTTAGTGGATACCGGGGCCGATTTGTGCGTTTTTCCGCGCCGCCTGCTAGGCGGATTGCGAGAAAGATCGGAGTACCAGCTGGCGGCGGCGAATGGGAGTGTAATTAACACCTACGGGACAGTGTCGTTAAACCTGCACCTCGGCCTACGACGGGATTTCGTGTGGCGATTCGTGGTTGCGGATGTTACAAAACCCATAATCGGGGTAGACTTTCTCGATCACTTCGATCTTATGGTGGACATCCGCAATCGTCGCCTCGTCGATCGGACCACGTCGTTAACGGTCCGCGGAACACGAGCCGAGGATGAAACGCCGTCGGTGAAGACAGTAGCAGGGACTACCGTTTACCACCAGCTCCTGATGCAGATGCCGGAACTTACACGGCCTAGCGGCACCCCGATGAGGACTACGCACCAAACGGTGCATTACATCGAGACAACCCCTGGACCACCCGTTTCCAGCAAGCCGCGGCGGCTTGCACCGGACCGGCTCAGGGCTGCCCAGAAGGAGTTCGACGCGATGGTGAAGATGGGCATCGCTTGTCCTTCGAAGAGCGCGTGGTCAGCACCCCTTCATATGGTTCCGAAGAAGGGCGAAGAAGCTTGGAGGCCTTGCGGTGACTATAGAGCGTTAAACGCACGGACAATTCCCGACCGATACCCCGTGCGTCACATTGAGGATTTTGCGCAACAACTGAGTGGCAAAAAGGTATTTTCCACAATAGATCTCGTCCGAGCTTATAATCAGATTCCGGTTGCGTCGGAAGACGTCGGAAAAACGGCCATTACAACGCCGTTTGGGCTTTTTGAATTCCCGTACATGTCGTTCGGGTTACGAAATGCCGCGCAAACATTTCAGCGCTTTATCGACGAAATTTTACGCGGTTTCGATTTTTGTTACGCGTATATAGACGACATTTTGGTCGCCTCAGAATCCCAAGCCGATCACCTGCGCCATTTAGAATTATTATTTAAACGATTAAAAGATTATGGCATTGTTGTTAATCCGAATAAATGCACGTTCGGACAGGAAGAAGTTAAATTTCTAGGCTATCGGGTAAATGAAAGCGGCACTCAACCTTTGCCCGGCAAGGTACAAGCCATAAAGTCATTTCCCCTTCCGAAAAACGCGAAGGATTTGAGGCAGTACTTGGGAATGCTTAATTTTTACCGCCGTTTTATCCCAGATGCCGCTCGCTTTCAAGCACCCTTGAACGACCTTTTAGCCGGCAATTTAAAGGGCAAGACCCCGATAGCCTGGACTTCGGAAGCGCGTCAGGCTTTCGAAAATACCAAAAATAGTTTAGCAAACGCAACCCTGCTTTCTCATCCTGCGGTCAACGCTCCATTGTCGGTTACCTGCGATGCTTCTGATTACACCGTAGGAGCTGTTTTACATCAGTGCGTCGGCAACGAACGACAACCATTAGCATTCTTTTCTAAGAAATTAGGATCTGCCGAAAAGAAGTATTCAGCTTACGACCGGGAACTACTTTCTATCTATTTAGCAATAAAACATTTCAAACATATGCTCGAAGGCAGACATTTCACGATTTTTACAGACCATAAACCCATAACTTTCGCTTTCAAACAGAAATTAGATAAATGCTCTCCTCGACAATTCCGATACCTAGATTACATTGCGCAATTCTCTACAGATATTCAACATATTTCCGGTAAAGACAACGTCGTTGCCGATGCACTGTCCAGAGTGGAAACGGTTAACCACTCGATTAATTTCGAAGAATTGGCAAAATCGCAAGCCCAGGATGAGGAGTTGCAGCGGTTGTTGAATAGCGAATCTAGCCTGCGATTACGTAAAGTCTCGTTGCCTGGCACGTCTTCCGAAATTTTTTGCGATATTTCGACTAAGAATGTAAGACCTTATGTCACCCCTCCTTTCCGACGTGCAGTTTTTAATATGTTACATGTATTATCACATCCAGGTATTAACGCGACGATCAAGCTCATAACGCAACGTTATGTTTGGCCGTCGATTAAAAGAGATGTTCGCACGTGGACACGTTGCTGTATACCGTGCCAAAGATCAAAAATTTCCCGTCATGTGACTGCACCATTGGCTACATTTGTTAAACCTTCTGCGCGATTCGAACACATTCATTTAGACATAGTAATTTTACCGGTGTCCGAAGGTTTCAGGTATTGTCTGACCTGTGTAGACAGATATACGCGGTGGCCGGAAGCCTTCCCCATGGTCGATCAGGAGGCCCAAACCGTAGCTCGAACCTTTTATGACGGTTGGGTAGCGCGGTTTGGTGCTCCCGTACGGATTACCACCGATCAGGGTAGGCAGTTCGAATCCAAATTATTTTTTGCGCTGAACAATTTAATTGGATCCACACGCCTTCGCACAACGGCGTATCACCCAGCGGCCAATGGGATGGTAGAGCGTTTTCACCGACAGCTCAAGTCGGCTATAAGGTGCCACGGATCCGACAGGTGGACAGAAATACTTCCGACGGTTCTACTCGGTATTCGTTCCGCCTGGAAAGAAGACCTCGGCGCTACCTCAGCGGAATTAGTTTATGGCGAGCCATTAAGATTACCGGGAGAGTTCTTGTCTTCGCATTCAGCGGAAGGCACAGAAAATGCTTCCGATTTTACTAATAGACTACGCAACCATTTTTCTAAATTGAGTCCCTCTAATGCATCACGCCATTCCGTTAATCGTACATTCGTTTTCAAAGATCTTAGCAGTTCAACACATGTTTTCATCCGAACAGATTCAGCCAAAACTATTTTACAACCCGCTTATGAAGGTCCATACGCCGTAGTGCGCCGAGGCGAAAAAACATTTACAATAAACATTAGAGGTAAGGAAATAAATATATCAATTGAAAGGCTAAAGCCTGCTTATATGCTAGCAGAAAACAGACCGGATCCCGTGAGCATAGAAAATCAGCCGGTCACTCAAACAAACGTACCTGACAATGCGCCGGTTATACAGCAACGTGTTACGCGTTCAGGTAGACGCGTACGTTTTCCCGATCGATTTCAAATTACGCGGTAGTACTTAAGGCTTGCGCATTATTATAATAAGTATCATATACCATTTATTTTTATCCATCACTTTTATGTACTTTCATGTATTTTTAGGTATTACGTATTATATATTAAACTCCATGTAAATTCCTTTTTTTTTCAACTCTGTTCAAATACTGTAATGTAAATCTTAGTTAGGATAACGTATTTTATATAATAGAGTAAATGGTAGTGGTAATGTAGTCGGTCAATTTTTCGTAATTGTGCCAATTACTGGCAGGGGGGTAGTGTGGCGGCCAAGGCGCCACATACGCCTTAGCCGTTCGAAGCCGCTACAATGTATGGTTGCACACGAGACGATGGTTGCACACGAGACGATGGTTGCACACGAGACGATGGTTGCACACGAGACGACCAGAGCCGCGTGAGCCGAAAAGCCGTTGTCGTCGTCTCTGACCGTCTTTTGTTTTTGAAGGCCTCTTGGTACGGTGGCGATGATCGTACCAGAGAGTCGAGCGTAACCCGCACCACGAGTCACGTCGTTGTACGACAGCAACAATAAAATTGTGCGGAACGGAACAGAGCGGAGTCATTATCTTCCCGATCCCACACTATATTCATTTCAAAATCGATGTTATCGATACTCGATCCCTTAACTTGTTAATAGTCCGATTGGTACGATTCTTCACTTTGTTCTGCCACCACCGGGCCAATTCCCGAGTGAATTTGAAGTTTTTCCGGTACCGTGACCGGTTCGCTCAGGACATCAATATTTAAAATTTGCACAATCGCGGAATTTAAATCGTTCGCGGACTTATTTTCTTTTCGGGACACAACGAATCCGTTATCGAATGAAAATGTAATTAGGGAATTCGAGGAAAAGTCTCGCCCTAATACTGCCATAAATGCCATCGTGCTGTCCGGAACTACATAGAACTTTATGTTTACGGAAATTCCTTCGACCTCGACTTCGCACTCAAAGATACCTAATATTTTCATGCGCGAACCGTTAATTCCCGCGAATTCATACACGTTGTCTGGTAACGAAGTTAGCATTTCCCCGGGTACACAGCTATTTTTGATAAAACTTATCGGTGATCCTGAGTCTAACATTGCACTCAAGGTATACTTACAGGACTGTTTGTTCTTATCAACTATAACGTAACTAAGCGAAAGTAGATACGGTGCTGGGAGTGATGCCTGGACCATGTTCGTCGACGTTGTCGCGCTGGGCTCCATTCGGATGCTGGGCTCTCTCCGTGCACTGCTCTCCCTTTGCCGGTTCGTCATCCGTTGTGGGCAATCCCTTATTTGATGTGTAGTCGCTCCGCATTCAAAACAAGATCCGAATTCCCGACTCTTCGGTCTCGGACATCTTGGGGACACATGTCCGGTTTCTCCACAATTGAAACATCAGGTCATCTTCTTCTGCAGCTCGGGTCTTCCTCTTGGATAACTACCCCCTTTGCTCAGTTTCCTGTCGCTGCTAGCACTGTCCTTCGCATCCAATGTGATTGGATACGCGATTTCCTAGAATTATCTTATCGTGATAATATTCGGCGAAATGTTCGCCCGCACTCCAGACTCGGTTCTCAAAATCTTTCCGCAGTGTCAATTTACTGGGTCGATGGTCGAACATCACTTTCATCTCCTCCAATAGCGTGTCAATGTCCATAATGAGATGTTCCGCCCTCGAGTGGAACCAATTCGCGGCACGCCCTTTTAGTTTGGCACTAATTAACACCCTTGCCGCCTTATCCTCCAACTCGTAAGTGGTTCGCAGGAGTTGTACCTGTTGTTCCCATCTCCAATAAGTACCATCACGAGCATCAAACTCGCATAATAAGTCTCCAATCGCACGTATGCTCATATTCATAGATGAGGAGCTTCGATTGGTCCTCTCCGAGATCCTGGGACTGTCCGCAGCTTCTCGTTCCCGACGAAGAAGCTCCATTTCTCGCCGCAATATATCGCGCTCCAAACGCATAAGCTCCAATTCGCGTGCCAGAAGGTCGCTCTCTCGGCTTCCAGAACCCCGACGAGGCTGCGCTGCCTCGTCTTGTATCTCACTGTCCCGTCGCTGTTCTTCAACTTGATCAGCCGTCGCCCAGTTCGCCGCGACGATATTCCAAATATCGGGATCAAATTCTTCCAGTCGTAAAATCAACTCGGATTTCGAGCCGCCCACTGCCAAGTTGCGTTCTCGCAGAAATCTCTTCAACTCACTGGTGGTGTAGTCCTTCGACATCTTCAGTGGTCAAAATTAGCGTCGCTGAGTCTTAAAAAAATGCGTCAACACGCTTGACTTCCAGCTGCACAATCTGCTAACCCACCCTCAACAAATATGTCACGGGACCAGATTCACTACCAATTCAATTTGATGAACTGCACAATTGTCAATTTGAGTTACAACACACCAATAAAATCACTGACGTGCAATATTCACTTACACTCGCGACTCGCACTTATTTAAAAAAAAAAAAAAAAAATAGCTCTTTATCCCACTTCTGAATTGTGGGAGGGTATGGAAGGAAACAGGACGTTGTCAGGAGCCCGAAATAAACCCTCCCAGTCTTAATAACGATGATATATATTTTAAATAAATGATATATATTAGTCGGGCGCGCGCGAATGTACGTGACAATCCTCGTCAAAGTCGTTGCTGTAACTGTCCGATGACCTGGCCTGCTTGGCCTTGCCATCCCTTTGCCGCTTTCCCTTTTCCCGTAAGGAACAAAGCGGCCTACGTCATGGGAAACCCCCCTGTACCCTGTCCTCTCCAAGCTAAAGAGGCCCATTAGCCTCCTACAGTATGTTTTATATTTCTGCATATTGAGTGCATTCCGTAATTTTTTGAGGATTAAAATTTCCCATAAATGCATAAACCGCAGTCTACGTATTACTATCCCACTTGTATCGATATTAGGGTGGCGTAAAAATGATTGGGAACGAGCTCGTAAGAGTTTTATAAAAACTAAAATCGGTCTCATTGCTTAAATGCTGTACCGTGTAGAGGAGAAATAAATTTCGTTGAAAAATAGAAGGTGGCATTGGGTGACACGTTTGCACTCAAAGTCTGTCGCGTTCAGTCCTCGATCGTTCTCTGAAAACTTCCCCAAACGTTGGATACCGTGATACCAAAGGTGGCAAACGTTTTCTCTGTCAGCGTAATAAATTGTGGCAGAAAATTCTTTCTCTCTCGCGACTGACAGAAGAGGAACTAACGCTCGCGGTGCGGAACAAAGCGATACGTGCAGGTTTGAGTGAAGCCGTTGAAAGGGCTGTTTTCATCTTTGACTCTGAGTCGCTTTGCCTGTATATTCAGGGCTGTGATGCTTCACGATCGGCGGCTATGTGGGCGTTCGCAAAACGACACGTACTTTGACGACAATGTCGCGTCACCAGCCACGGTAGATGTTTGCCAAGAGTTTAATTCACAAACGCCCGAGCGTTCGTGTCCCCTCTTGTCCCCATCACTTTTATTTATGTCTGTCTTCGCCACTTTGTTCTATTACGCAATCACGGTTACCTCATAAATTTAAATGAACCGTCAACACTCTGATTACGCGTTCGACGCTGCAAGATTCGAAGCGCGTAATGTCGAAATTACACCACAAATTTAGCATTTAACGCTGTATGATGCAGAGTTCAAATTAAACCGCACCGAACTCGGAGAATTAATATCAGTGGAAGTATTAACTCTCGAGAAAATTGTAATGGAACATTTTTATGGTACAAACTAGCCAAAAAATTGAATTCTCAAGATTAGAATAAATCTAGATAGGACTCTTGAATTTTAACGAGTTTCGAAAATAAAGTTTCGTTTACGTGGACAATTTGATCTCGTCCGACAGTCAACGCGTTATGGAATCTGTTACTTGGCAGTTAGGTCCTTCGATACTAGTGCTCTGGAATCGTCTGCAAACTGAGGTATCACCGGTCAGATAGAACGCTTTGGAGAGACATTGTGAGGTGAACGGAGGATTAAATAGAGCCGGATCCATGGCAAATTACGTTACGCGTGAAATTTCGTTATATGCCGGCGTACCAGGTATCTCTGAGCGTTCTGTGTACAGTAACGTCGTCGTCTCAAGGGACATGTAATTTCACGCGTCCAATACCCTGTATCTTCCCAACGTCAATATCGCCACCAAATCCGGTCGCCAAGGGTAGCCACGAATACCCTCCGGCAACGAGATACCGTCACACCGATGGCGACCTGTCCGTCTCGACCTTAGCACTCCGCGCGTTAAGAAACTATGGCAAGGGTGCTTCAGCGAGGTGCATGCACGGACGTCAGACGTTAACTGACACGAAACAATACCCTTTCGAGGGTCATAGAAACCGTGAAAGCAGCCGTGCTTTGCCGGAAATACATTTGGGAAATTAAGGGACGAGGTTAATATGACGACCCCGGCTCTCCGCTCGATACGCGCCCTAGGCTTTTGTGCACCTCGTTCTCAACCTCTCTGTTTCTCTCTGCCATTTTCTCCAGCGACGTCTAGTTTACGGAATATTACGAATCCGTGATGAATTCTCTCGAAATAAATTAGTTCCGCCACGAATAGAACCACCGTTCCCCGGAATCCCACAGAAAGAATACGCAGGGTTTAAAAATTTTAAAAATTTTCAAGTTTTTAAAATTTTGTTTAGAATTTCTAACGCACAATATTCTTTAGCGCCATTTAACTTCACGACTTTTCTTATTAGTATACGTACAACGAATTTTACAATATTCGCTTCTATTCCTATTGCTTATTTTATGAGAAAAATATGTAGTCTTGCCTACCACGACCGGTCTGACCGGTTGAATGATTTATATTTCTTTGTAAAAAACTGGTCGAAAGTTTCCGCTGCCTTAGAAAAGCCTATGAATGCGTATTAAAAATAGTAAAACTTTGGACGCGTGCAGTTTCGAAATTACTCATGCTTTTTTTATAATTGAGCCACTGTTAGAAGCGGCAAGGTCTCCTCTTTGAAATGGTTCATCGTAATTTATGTAAAGGGGTCATTTTTTAATTTGACTATCTCTGTCTTCGTCTGACGCGTCGGACCTCTTTGTCTTACGTGTATGGCACTGACCTACCCCGCGTACGTGACTGTCTTGATCTAGTTTCTATTCTATTTTCACGCGCGCGAGTTCATTGATCTCAATGAAACGTAAACAAACGCTTCGAACGCTTATATCTCCGGAACTAGCCACCGCATCGCCTTGAAACTAAAATCGCTATATCTCCGGAACTAATAAACCTATCGACTTGTTCGAACGCTCATTTTAAAGGGCATTTCATCCTCTACTTATAATTTTTGCTATCTTTTATGTTTATTTTGAAATTTACTTTGACGCTACATACCCAAAGAAGTTTCAGCAATTCCTACTGATCGTACGACTAGTGTACGATAAAACTGGATCATAAATTGTTTATTTAATTGAAAATGAGTTTAAATTTCTATAAAATGTTTGCATAATTACTGTGCCATTTTTTTGTAAAAAATTTCTTTTCTCCATAATTAATTACGGTTTGCCTTGAAACAAAATTCATTTTCAAGGGCATTTTATCTTCTATCCGATGGAAATTCGAAAATTTCGATGTATTTTGTAAATATTTGGTACGAAGTTAAAGTACTAAGTATGCACGTTTAGAGTGAAAGTATTGAATATTTTTGTACAGATTTTTAAAATGCATGCTTTAAGGAAAAACATCATTACAAACTTCAAAACACAACTTTCTATACATATATTGCAAAAATTAGAAGTACGTTGCCTCGTAAAAGAGAAAAAGATAATCATTTGACCAGTCTTACTAGGAATGGGTATACATTAAGTGTTGATAGGTTTAGTGTTAAAAGACAGTGGCCCGGAGCTATCGAGATCATTCGATGAATTAAAAATATTTTTAAAACATAATTTTTTATAGACGTAAATGTAACGTTTGAATCAAACGATCGAAATCTTGATTTCTACATATTGTTCTATCAGTTGCATCAGTGTTTATTGTTTCTGTTAAAATTAACTTATTTTATAAATCTTTCAGTCATTTACTCGCAATAAATTTTAATAAAACTATGAAAAATACTTTTAAATTTTTGTTTCGCGAAAACAGAGAGTCATCGTGAGCATATCAAATATTGCAAATTAAACACTGAGCGCAAGATTTATTTGTTCTGTGTAAAATAAAAATTTACTTACATTGTACTCGCAGTACCAGAAAGGAAAATGATCGAAATGCGTAGTTTGAGGTATCCTAGCTAAATGAATTGCTTTTCTTCGATCAAAAAGTGAAGTATCACGACGGGTCTCAGTAAATGGTTACGACAAATGGAATATGGGCGAGAGGTCTACCGCTAATTAATTAGAAACCGTCCGAATGCTCGTGATGAATAGGTTGCGTAACGGGATCATTAAAGCCTCAGTAAATCCCGACCGAAGTTGCAATGGTGTGTAATTAGCGCATTCGTGGGCCCCATTCGGGACAAATAATTTCCCAGTGACAATTTCAGAGTATAATACGATACTTAGCGCGTCGCCAAGACGCTTGAACTTGGAAAAATTATAACGTGGGAGGGTCATAATGTGTTTCATAATTCTGATAACGATTTATCTGGAACCTATGTTCTTAATATTATCGTTTAACGAAATTTCAAAAAAATGTCAGGTACCATCTCTGACGTAAGAATGCTTCGTTTTCGAGGTAATTGAGTTTCAAACTTTGTCGCAGCGAATTTTCTCCACGCGTACTCGATACATTTGCAAAGTCGACTTTCTCGAAAACGAAGTATTAATCGAATCTGTAACTAGACACTAAAAAATCGAGATATTAGAGATAAAATTCTAATTTTCAACCGAACGATCCGACGACCTGTTGATTAACCGCCATTCACACCCCCGCACAAGGCATATTGAGCTCGTAGCTCTTTCTAGGGTTAAGGATTTAAGTTGGTCTCCTGGATATGCTCGGACTAATAAATGCATAGCAGGATACATGCGTTAACAGTCGTAAGGCTCCCGTGTGTTCCGTTAACGAGCCGGAAAATTGTTTTTGCGTGTATGACCCATCTTCGCGAGCTTCTAGGCTCTATTATAATCCGTGCTAATTTCGACATTGTTTTCGCTTTAACGTGGGATCGGAAATTCTCCCAAAGCACGTGAACTCTGGTAATCTGTGTACAGTTGGACTTACGAACACCTGTTCCGTTTCGCTGCCGGGACTAATTAGTCAATTAGCCATTCTACGAGTATCGCAAACTCGAGCCCTGATACGCGTACCCGATTTCGTATCTATCCGCGTTATCGAGCCGGTCACAGTGAAATTTTGGCTAATCTTGATATCGAATTGGAATCAGTTTTCTCCGAACCAATGTTAAAAATGTCTAATCTCCTGAGAAAATTAAAGGACAATGTTAAGTCATAGAGGGGTTTACTGACCCAAGAGCGTACAGCCTATGCTATACACCGTTGGAAAGGTCTCGCCAAGGCGAATCGACTGATACCGTTTTTAACTTCGATATCAGATGGGATCATGTCGAAAAATGGCCTCAAAGTTCGAGATTTTGCGGTTTTGAACAAAAGAATCCGGTCGTAAAAGCCCATCCGGCCCGAGGGACCTCGGGTAGGCACCTGAGGGAAAACCGAGCGGTGTAAGCGATACTCTAGCAGATTGGGACGGCAAATGTGCCCCACCACCTTCATTTCAGTGCCGTGTTGGGCCTGCGTTTGCCGCATGGGCCCCGTTCGAAATGCCCAGGGCGAAATCGCCAATGGATCAGTTGTTTTTCATGAACATAATATATTCATGATAGACGATTCGCAGGTATAAGTTGGGAATGTGCAGGTTAGTATTCAGACTAATGCGTCACTTACAATAGTGAATGGAGTGACATTTTATTGATTGAACGAAACATAATGATGTGAATACTGAATACTAACCTGCACATTCCCAACTTATACCTGCGAATCGTCTATCATGAATATATTATGTTCATGAAAAACAACTGATCCATTGGCGATTTCGCCCTGGGCATTTCGAACGGGGCCCATGCGGCAAACGCAGGCCCAACACGGCACTGAAATGAAGGTGGTGGGGCACATTTGCCGTCCCAATCTGCTAGAGTATCGCTTACACCGCTCGGTTTTCCCTCAGGTGCCTACCCGAGGTCCCTCGGGCCGGATGGGCTTTTACGACCGGATTCTTTTGTTCAAAACCGCAAAATCTCGAATTTTGAGGCCATTTTTCGACATGATCCCATCTGATATCGAAGTTAAAAACGGTATCAGTCGATTCGCCTTGGCGAGACCTTTCCAACGGTGTATAGCATAGGCTGTACGCTCTTGGGTCAGTAAACCCCTGTATGACTTAACATTGTCCTTTATGCACTGTACCACGCAAAAGCAATCGAACAAACGCAAAGTACTTGTTACGTTAAATTTTATGGAAATGTAATAATTTTTTAGGGTATCGGGGTTGGATTGATGTCTCGAAACTGTAATTTTATTAATTCGAACGCTTTGTTCGGGGGTTAATCGAAAGGAGGAAGTTAACGTTTCACGAATTTAACTATAATACTTCTACTGTAACCGCGGAGAACTCAATTATCGGTCTTGCCTTTTTGGAGGGCGAATGATTCGGAGATTAGGGAAACAATGAAATAGCTGGAGCAGCGGAGGGATCAGTTGCCTCCGTTTCTCGGCTTTTATTCCGAAAACGATTCCGCAATACGTTGGCGGTACGCGCTTTTGCCCGTATAAATCACACTCTTTAAGCATTCCAAGATTTCCCGCTCCCGCGACACAAGGTATCATCTCGGCTTTCATCTTTATCCGAGCACTCACTGCTATTTTCTGCCTACGAAGTACAAGTACGATTCACCCGTTCGTACAAAGGGATTTACCAGTGGATGGCATTTCACGATAAATTTTGCATTTATTCGGAATCTACATACATATTTACGTTTCCCGTTTTCATTTCTTTGTCATGGGAATACGTTCGAAATCGCGATGTTCGTCTCGAGCATCGTTTGAAACGAAATTAATGTTTCTCATCGATGCGCATAAATTGTAGAGAATTACGATTTTCCGTTTTAACGTTTAATTATATCGAAAGACAGGTAATACATCGTATTTTTGTCAATGCGATTATTATGTCAGAACATACTGTTTCTCGTGGTATTCAGAACGTATCGGAAATAAAGTAACAACCAGAACAATCGTTCGAAGGAGATTACAAAATCTTATCAAAGGATCTGTAAACTTGATTGAACTTAAACATATTTCGTAATACAGTTGTAAAGGCACGAGAACTTTTTTAAAATTTGTAAGTGCATTTGAATAATGTTATAGTATTGAACGAAATGCCGTAAAAATAAAGTCACTCCAATGAATGACATCAATTTTGATGTTTGACGAAGTCGAGTTTAAACGATAACATTGAGGTCTGTTTTCCATCAGTACTCGACAGGTTTAATTTAGCGAGGTAAACGAAGTAGACACTTTATTTGTATTTATTGGAAAATGTGTGTTTCAGCTGGAAAATTCGCGCTGCTCGATGATCGAATTAATTACGTGCTTTTTAAACATACCGTTATACGTAACTCGTGTAAAAAAAAAATACGCGTTATCTCCGTGTATTGTTATCTCTTGTAACAGGTTTAACGAGTCAGGTATTTTATTCAAATATGGCGATGTAATCATTAATTTGACCTTAGCACTTTCAGGCTTTCTTAATAAAATATTTCTTAAGTTCCAAAAATGGTTGTTAGCCTGACTGGAAGTTTCCAATTGGCCCGTTTGGTGCACGTCTTTATAATCAACAAATTGCTCACGATGTTCTCTTGATTTATGTTTCAGTTGCGTGGGTGGCGATTTTCTAAAAGTGTTTCTACATTTGGAGACCACGGGAGTTTCCGAGTACACACCGTGGTCGGGTGTGCTTTGCGGGGAACTGAACGACATCCCGCAAATTCTGTACAGTTCAAGATCGACGCTTATTTTGGAGTTTCACACCCAGGAGCCTCCGTCGAATGCGTCCGGATTTTTCGGAAATTTTCGCTTCATCGACAGACGTGAGTTGTTCACCAGACTTTATTAACATTTATTAATTTAAGGATTCGACCGTTCGAAGCAACAACATCGACTTAAGAATATCCACAAACGAATTGGAAAAAGAAAAAGCGTAAATTGGATTTTGATAATTACGTGGAGGTTGTTTTTGTCGATCTTTAAATACGACTCCAGGACGAATCGAAAGCTTCTGACAAACCTGAAGTCTGATCCAAGGACCGTACTGGATTAAGACTGACGGCATGTTAACAAAAACCACTTCGTGGCTTCATCTCGAGCAAAAAGCTCTTCTAGGTCGGGAAGCTCTACTCGACTGGCATACTTATCGAGAAAACTGTAGGTCTCGTTTTATGAAACTCTCTCGAGTGGAGACTTACTCTTTGCCGCGGGCGGCTCAATTGGAAAATATTTTTAAAGTTACCCCGGGGATCGCTGAAAGAACTCGCGGAACGTGTTCCCTTCGAAATAATGCTAATTAAACCATGGTTGCGCCCACGCACTAGATGATCTTGCACGAAAGAATACTCTCGTACGATTTCGTTCAATTTTCGTGAACCTCTGAATCAAACGCGAGATATTTTATCGAATTCGACCTCCTGTTAACGATTGATGAAAAAGCAATAAATTACAAGCACGGGAATTATGTGCAAAATAAATTCCGATGCAGCAAAGGCCGGTGATATTTGTTTGAATTACGTAATTTATTATATCAACGAGGACGGAAACGTTTCATAAGGCGAACGAGGTTATTCTTCGTTGTGCATCGTTCAAAACGTGGGGCCGATGATGGCTTCGCCGGTTGTAATTACTTTTTAAAGCTTAATCGAGATCGATATCTGGCCTTCGCCGCCGGCATAGCAGACAAAAACTCCGTTTCACATAGGTTAAACTGTAATTATGGTTCTGAAATAACTGTTCCCACAGAATTTTTATTTATAACGACGTTATCGATCGAAGAACATATCCGCGAAGATCTGATGTTAACAGAAGTATTAAATTTCTTGCATCTGTCAGCGATTACAATTATACATATATTTCTTTCTATTTGTAGTTTGAAAGGTACTGAGATTTTCGCTCGAACGGATAGTTTTAGAGCGTTGTTTTTGCATTACGTAAAATCCAATAATCCAATAATTTTGATACAGCGTGGCAGCAACATCGTGTTTCGTAACAATAGCCGGTGAGTTTGAAACATGTTTCGCGCATGTTTTAAATTTAGCTTTAATCATCTTCGTCGTAATAGCAGAATTAAACTGACTGAGAGTGCAATCCATTAAATCTTGTTTCGCAAAACTGCGGCAAATTATCCGCTAAAGTTGTCCCGGCGTTGCCATTTGTTTGGAAACGTGTGAATGGAAGCGTTCAACCGTATCGCTGTTCTCTTTAAGGTGTATTAGTTCTCTCGTTGGAAATCCTCCGGCGACGCGGTGTCTACACGCGTTACAACAAACGGTGCCACGGTTCCCTGCTCGTAACAAGGAAAGGTTCCTGATCCGGAAATTTAAAGAGTTATTGTGCTTTGAGAATAGGTAAATTGTCAAAACAATGCGTCGTTTATCTTTCGTTGTTTACAATCGTTCGATCGAATCGCGTTCAATTTAAGAAACTTTCGACTTTATCTTGTCTTGTCGTTCTTACAAACAACAGAAAATATAAGTAAAACAGAGAAACTCACCCACACGTTTGAACCCATTTTGTACTTTATTTATATTTTTCTCAAACACTGGAATGGAATAAAATATAAACTGTTATCAAAGAAAAGAATACGAATTCATACGACATAGAACAGGATTTCCATCGACTAATAGCGACCTATAAAACTAGGAGAAAAGGCAGAACAATTATGATAATACTCGGAACAGAATACTGCGAATTCACGCAAGAATATCTGATTGTACAAACAGAACAAATTTCGAGACTAAAATATAAGATAAAACCACACTCGCGGTAATTCTTAAAGGAAACCATCGTCTATTAAAAAAAAAAGAAAACATATACTAACTCGACGCGAATTACGGTCGAAACTTCTAAGCACAATATTATTATTTAAATTACGTCAGAGTGGACAATTTTCCCGTTACAAAATTTAAACGATACAGACTTGTACAAACTTTTAATCAACGCGTATCAAAACACAAGGAGAACGCTTACAAAAAATTCAAATTTTTATTTATGGTTGCTTGGACCCTATACAGTTCCGTGCCAGCGACACAACGGGGCTAAACAGTAAATATTGTGTGGGTTTAGCGAAACGGTGGTTCGTTAGTAAACGTTTCACGAATATGACTAGCCGACGCGTGCTTTAAACATGTTGGACGACGAATTTTTTTATTTCACTCACGTGTATGCGTCCGGCTTACGTATGCCACATATAACCGTGACATAATTCTTCCCGGTCGGAGGAAACTTTTCCATGCAATTCCAAAATGTACAATTCTCTCGCATGCTTGCCTAAGCTGTCCCCTCCCCTCCTCGTCGTGAGAGCAAAAGAACGATACGGGCGTTCCTCAGGAACCGGTAGAATTTACATAAGGTGACAAATTTGCGGCGAATTGACTATTTAATCCCTGTGCTCCTTGATTCATCTTCAACCGCCAATTTTTCTATCGTCGAACGCTCGTTTTAATATCAATTCGACAAATATTATTAAATCGAAGTATTGTTTTCGTTCCTGGACGATCCAATTTCGAGTTAAAATTACAGTAAAACAATACGTTAAAAATTTGCGATATCGAAACAAGTATTGTAATTTAGTATTCGATTTGTGAACGATTTTCGTGAAAAACGTCGAGAAATACTAGCTTCGAGTATTTTTTAAATAATGTCGTAGATAGCACAGAACGATGATTTAAACTTTGTCTATTATCACATGGACTGTTACATATTTCGATTTGAACAAAACCGCTGACATCGCGCACAGAAATGATTGATTTGACGCGGAATGGCCCCTATGGAAGTGCATACGGCGCGTTTATCGAAGTGTTGTCACTGTAACTGTTTGTCCCCCCCAAAAAACAAATGGTTTTAGTAGCAACGTTGGAAGAAACGAAGCGTTTAGTGTTTTATCAAGCTGGAGTAGTATATTATAATTAGAAATCATAATACACTGGCTCAAAAGACACGGTTAATTGACAGTGAGTAACGCGAAAATAGAGCCTTCGTTCTTGTCCATATCTTAAAATTATCTTTTCCGTCTCTCAAAACTTTAAGTTGACTATTTAACAAATTTATTTCCGAAGTCACATAAAATATGACGCATTTAATTGGAAACATATGTTTTGCAAGAAAAGAATACTTTCGAGTTTCGTAAAAAGAATATGGAATTTCATTGATTTAAAAAATAAGCATTTGTAGACAAACATTTTGCTTTTATGTTGATATTAAGAAATTGTAAGTGACTCCTTTTATCTAAAATTACGCGATTTTAAAGAATCATCGAAGAATGAAATTTTGTTTCGTGGAACTTAAAAAATATGTACAAATTCTGTCGTTCTCCCAATTTTGTTATAAAGGGAGCTTCCGATCGCTCTAAAAATTTTAATTCGTTGTATCTTGAAAGGTCAAAATTTTCAAATTTTTCCTTTTAACCTTTCGAAATTAAATACGAATCCATCGACATAGAATTAGACTAGTATTTTAAGTATAAAGTCGATTTGTGTCTATATTACACCATTAGCTCTATACTGATCTATGTTGGAGAGTATTTTACTAGACACCGTACCAATTTTAAATTACGAACAATGTCAGAACATAACTTTCCAAAATATTGTTTCACTTACATCGACTGTATTACCATAAATAGAATTTCCGTGATTGCCAATGAGAAGATACACGTAAGTTTTGGGGTATAAGTAAAAATATGAAAAATGTTTGGGATCACAAAGGTTTAGAATCCCCATGTGTTTTCGTACGGACAAACTGTCGGTTTTCGTGATCCCTTAGCGTCCACTTGAAGCAGGTTTCCGGGTGAAAGGTTAATCCGAGGCGGGGAAAATCCGTCTAGAACTCAGCGGACCATAATGGAGGCTGATAACCGAAGAGATTAGTTAGACAGAGATTAGACGACAGATAGCAAAATCGGTGTTCGGCAGCTGGGCTTACCGTAAACCGTGTTATCAAAGCAGCCTCACATATAATGTTTCGCGCGAAGGATCTCGTTGATCCCACGGCTAACTCAATCGATATTCAATTTCCTCCGGATCGGTACCGCAGCGGGATTTTATACCGCGAGACATCGCGGATCGACGATTATACGCTCGAAACCGGGCCATATTTCATCGTCGTGATTTGCGGCCGGTCGGCAAACAAAGACCTTGACAAAACGGTAAGAAAAATGCGCCACGGATCTGCCCTAATGCGTGGAAAACGTCACGAACCCATTTCGCTCGATCCATCATCCTGGGAAGCCGTCACTGACGAATGTGCGGTGCCGCGTAGAAAAAGGAAAAGGCGAGAACCCGTGAGCGGTATCGGTGAAATATGTGCAACCTTTTTCAACGAGCCATCAATGCTCCGATTCACCGATGCGTTCAGACGACTTCGAGATGTCTGGCCGCTAGAAAATAGATTACGCACGTCCATTAAACCGGGAAATAGCGTGCCCGAGCCGTGTGTCCTGGACCAAAGGATACGCTGATTAACCATGTATAATTAAAATGTAATTTCTCCTACCTAACCGGAGAGTTTTAATCAAACAGGGGTTGACCCGATGAGGGAGTTGGTTGCGGTCAGACGCAGAAGGGGAATGATTATCGCGGCGATCCTGGACGGATCCTTGGCCGCTATTCGTTATTTCGAACGGTACGACTCGTCCATCAAACGGTTAAATATGTCGTAAACCATTAGAAAACTTCATTCGTGTTACTTCACGAATAAATAAATATTGAATAAATAAAATTATGTTGGCCCTAATCGATGCCTAAAGGACCCCGCACAGATCTTATAGAAAATGGCTCCCGGTTAAATTAGCTGAACTTTTTATATGATGTAGTTCATTATGTCA